CTTAGAACCTTTTCCGATTTCTCTCTGGAACTTTTCTTTTGTTAAGTGAAACCCTGCTAGTAACTTTGGCTGGGCGTAATTTTTAAAATACATTTTGGCTTCATTCTGTGGGGAAATGTTCTGATTAAATACCAAGCTGGCTCCCTCACAAATGTTGAAGACTGGTTCCGTGTTGACCCAGCTTAAGGACGTCCAGGCCCAGCCTGTGGGACCACTGACTTTCCTCCCCCGAAGGACACTCCTCACCCCAGGAAGCCGCTGAGTAGAGGCACCAGTGAACGAGGGGCCGGGGCCGCTCGGGGACCCCGCACCAGTGCAAATGCGCTGCTCTCTGGCTGAATGACGAGACTCGCTTTGACCGGGGGGCACAGGCGTGAGTGAGAATCTCCTACGCTCTGGGCCTCGCGCCGCCTCCCCGCCCCCCCGACTCACCACCCAGCGGAGCCGCAGGCTGGTCTCGCTGGCGGTTCGCACAGTGACACTGGTGGGGGCCACGTCTGGGGGTGCCTGCAGGGTCTGGATGACCCGGGAAGACGGACTGAAGGGGCTGGCGCCCACGATGTTCACCTGCCGCATTCGGAACCTAGAGGCAAAACCATCGGCGAGACTTATTCTGCAGCAAGAGGTGATGTGGAAAAATGGAAAAAAACCCCAAAATCCCCCCAGCAAAGGCAGGGGATGTCTGCCTGTATCATACAGGCCGTTGCTCAAGGGTGCCCACCTCCACCTGGTTGCATTACGCATGCAAATTACATTATGGCCTCTTTCCCTAAAAGCCGCCGAAGAGTGGCGAACACACCGCAACTCAGCAGCTTCCAGTCCCCGAGCAAAACGTGATTGGACGGGTTCCACGGCCGGAAACCCGCTGCCCTTGGCTGGTTCGACTTCAGGGTGACATTGGGTCGGGATGGGGGTTAGAGTTCCGGGAGATTTTCAGCAGAACTGGAGCGTCAGAACATCGTCACCAAACGACAGAGGTGGGAGCCCAGTAGCTCTCCGGCGCCCCGTTCTCCGTGGTCGGGGGAAGCAGTGGCCCCAGAGTCACCCCTCGGGCCTCTCCCCCCAGGGTAGCTCGCCTCTGTTCCCTCATCTATAAACTGCGGGTGGAGGTAGAAGCGCTTTAAAGTCGACGTCAATGTTCTCAGTTTTCTCTCTTCTATATTAATATGGACAATTATGTGAATTGAACTTACGTACCAGGAAAAATGTCCTAAGTACGCAGACACATTTATCACAGAGGCTTTGTAAATGTACATGAATCTAAGACAGGAACACTGACCTCTAATCAGTTTCTGGCCTTTGAAATAATTATAGAGCTTGTCCTAATTTCCCACAGCAAGTCCTGGATCCCAACAGCTCATTTTATGCTAAGTGTTTCTCTCTAAAAACAAGTGTATCTTGATTCATCTGCTCTAATCTTAGGAAGGGTGTTAAAATGAACATAAATTAAACAGCACCTCTCGCTAGGTTAAAAAAAAAACAAACCCTAAGTTCGGTTTGTACTGAAGAGTGCTCTTCACAAAGACGTCGTTTCACCTTTCACTCCCTGAACCAGTCACTCCTAGTCTCTCATCCCCTGAGCTTATGAAACGCATCTGTCCTGGTGGAACAGTGACACTGTCAAGCTGAGCCTCTGCTGGGGACTGGAAATTCTGCCACCGTCAGTGATCTCACGGGAAGTTACAGCGTGGCCACAGCGCGCCATCGCTCTGCCCTTTGTGAAGGCCAAAGTTTTACTGCCTGGATAAGTTTCAGGATCAGGAAGCAAAAGGTTAAACAACGTGGGAAGTGCTTGATTAGTGAGACCAAGACTCCTGCTGGGCCCGGGAAGGGGCAGCAGGGAACTCCCAGCACAGCTGCTTTGTTACACGGCACGCTAACCGCCCAGGGGCTCAGTCATTAAGCCTGATGTAACAGCCGGGTCTGCGGTGCTGATGGAAGGGGCCTTGCGGATCTCGCGCTCAGCTGCGCCTCTTGCCCCTACAGTTCAGTCTACTGTCACTGCCGCCTGGAACCCCTCAGGTGCACTCACAGACAGAAGCCTCCGCTGGAGGCGCCCTCCTCCCACCATGGGGCTCCCCGCCCGCAAGCTCACCTGTACTGAGTGTAGGGCGTGAGGTTCGGGATCTCCAGCGTCTGGGCGTCGGGCTCACTCTCCTCCTCGTAGAGGCTCACCCACTCCTCCTCGTCGCCCACGGCTCCAACCTGCGGGAAGGGAGGCGTGGGGACCCGCTGGATGAGTGGGGCGGAGGCTGCTGGCTAGGATGTGTGCCACCTGGCACCCTCACGTGGGGAAGTTGAGTCCTGCCCGGACCCCCCCAACTTGTGCCTTGGACACGTGGGCTCCTCTGTTCCCGCCCCTGAGTCTGGGTGGGCTTCAGACAAAAGCTCACGTCACAGCCTGGGCCCTGAGGGTGAGGTTCCAGCACAAACCCCAAGGGCGCCAGGACCACAGGTGTGGAGAGCACCTGGCGCCTCCTGCCTTTCCTCTCTGGCGATGGACCCCAGGGGGCCGACATTCTCACGGAAGGGCAGAGCCCTTTCCACCACAGCCGGCCCAGGGACTCAGCCTCTCCTGCTCCCACCCTGACCCCCTCAGCCCCAAGCACACACCAAGGACACCACCGCTGGCCGGGACATCAGAGGTCATCATGCAGAGAAGGACTCGCTGTTGTGGGGGTACTAGGTGGGGCCAGGGAAGCCCCTTCAGATGTAAACGGCCCACCTGGGGTACAGCGGGTCTCTTCAAAGAGGGACCAGCCCTCTGTGCCGGGGTGCCCGCCAGCCCCCTGGCCTCCATCTCTTGCTGACTCCATTCCCCATCCGTGAACATCCTGTGAACGTCTCGACTGCCCAGGAGGTATTCACGTGCGGCTCCGACCCTCCTAGGACCACCGTGACCTGCCCCGAGCCACCCCTCATGATTTCCTGTCACCATCCGAGGCCAATCTGACCACCCTGCTCCCTCGAGGAGCCGGGGGCCCGTCCCAGCAAGAGAGCAACACCGCCAGCCAGGGGAGCCCCCAGACCTCTCTGCAGGTTTCCGCATCCCTGCCCCAGGCGCTCTCTGGGCCGGTGCAGGCCCCACGGCCCTCGGGGCCCGGGGCACACGTGCAGAGGGGAGGCTGTGAGCACGGAGAGTGTCAGGTGGGTCAGCCCAGGGCCCCGAGCGCATTGCCCTCCATAAGTGACTCAAATGACAGCACACGAAACGTGCTCATGGTGTTTGCAGAGAAACCAGGTTGGCAGGTGGCCTGTTCGCGGGAGGATGTTGTGAGAATTCAAAAGGATCTTGGGAAACTGGAGACACGGACGCGGCGGACGGGACAGGGGCAGTGAACATGGGGGCCTGGCTGCACGTGTCCCAGAAAGACTAAACGTGACACTAAATACTCAGTTAGAAACATGAAAACGGACACTTGGCAGTTCCTCCAAAAGCGAAACCCAGTTCACGCCGAGGTCGACACCCAGAAGAGCAAACTGGTTCTCTCCCAAGTCCCGGCGCACACACGTCCACGGCCGCCCTGCGCTCAGCAGCCGAGGTGGAAGCCACACAGCACCCTCGACAGATGATAAGAAACCCACAGGGGTGCAGCCCCACGACGGAACACGACTCAGCCTCCGAAAGGAGAGGCCCCGACACCGGCCCCAACGCACGTGGGCCTCAAAAACGCGATGCCGAGGGAGGACACCGGACCCCAGAGGCCACGTGGTGTGTGACTGCGCCCATAAAGTATGCAGACAGGTAAACCCACAGAAACAGCGCGGCAGGGTGGGTGCCCGGGGCGGGGGGTCCTGGGCACGTTCTGGAACAAGACAGAGGAGGTGCTCACACAACATTGCGAACGCACTGCTTGTGAACTGTGCACATTAAAATGGTGACCTTGTGTTATGTGACTTTCACCTCAGTTTTATAAATATTAAGGTAAAATATGGGATGACCAGCCAAAAACACACGGTGGGGGAAGATGAGGTCAGAGGCTGGGGGTCAGCCAAGCCGCAGGGCGTGGGGCAGTGACATCAGGGAAAAACGGTGCGGCCGGCACAGTGGGAAAGCAGGGACAGCCCCGGGGCCCTGCACCAGGGGCCAGGTCTCCCGGTGCTGGAGACCTAGGAGGCCCGGACAGAGGACAGGCCGAGGCCGTGCAGACCCGCTCCACCCCACCCCTGCATTGTGAGGTGGAGAAGGACCAGGCCTGGGGACTGGTCAGCGCTGACCACGGCCAGGGCCACACAACCCTGATGTGCAGACAGAGGATGAGTCGGCCCCGAGTGACCTGCGCTTGCTGGGAACCAGGGCTCACTAGTGCCGCTTGGCGGTCCTGGCCCGGCTGGTGTCAGCAGGCGAGACACTTGCAGTCTGGGGAGAGGAGGGGAGGCGAGCTGGGGACAGACCGCAGGCGGCATCCCAGCCCTCTCATGCTGGAGGAGGCCAAGGCTGGACACCAAGCTCCTGGGGGAATCCGTCACAGCTCGGCACGGCTCCGGGCGCCTTCGGTCCTCCAGGTGAAGGCAGATGGTGCAGAGCTGGAGGGGGGCGGGGGCAGGTGCAGTATGTGGGGAGGGGCCTGGGCACCGCCCCCCCCAGGTGGGGAATGCGGATGGCAGGCGGGCTGGGACCAGGCACTGAGGGGAGGGCACTGAGCCCACATCTTCTCCGCTCACACAGCCCCGTTCTAGAACTTGTTCACAACATCTACGAATTTAAATCCAAAATGCTGTGTGCAACGAGGTTCGGGGGTTTCAGCGTTGAGGCGCGGACCACCCAGTGACGGGTCCTCGGGAGGTCTAACTGAGGTGCTGGTGTTGTTTCTTGGAAGTTAAGTTTAGGGGGAAAAAGGAAGGAAGGAAGGGAAAGAGAGAGATGACTTTGGTTCCAGGGAGGTCAATTCAGGACTTCTCGTTTCTCACTCAATCCCGCATTTAATGCCGCGGGAGGTGCTGGTACCCAGGGCGGCTGGCGCTCGGGGTGGGGGCTCTGCTCATGGCTATCTGGGTGCTGCCGCGGGGCTAGGCGGTGCCTCCCACGTCCTCGCCGAGTCTGGGCCTCCTTCTCGCTCCCACAGCGCAGCGCGAAGCTGCAGCTGAGACCACCTGGCCCGAACGCCTGAGTATTTACCCTCCGATCCATTACAGGAAAGTCTGCTGAGCCCTGCCCGTGTCCCTCTGCCGCCATCCCCAGGCGTCTCCCACGCTTGCTGTCACTCGTTTCACGGGCTCCCGAAGTGAGTTCGGGTCTGACTCATCATGGAACCCCCGGCATCTCTCCCAACCGGGTCCAGCCCATACTTGGGGCCTAGCCGGCTGGGTAAACACACGGACGAATCTACAAACGAACATGTGCACGGCTTCAAAACCGGCACTGAAAGCGGGCTGCCTGCGCTGAGCTGCAGAAGCAAGTTAGCACTGAAAACGTAATTTCACTTACAGACCTCGGGCGAGGCAGGCTTACATTTCTTCAGTGAAAGGCTTACACTTCAATCTAAAAAGACGAGGATCCTTCTCAGTGAGGAACAGAGGTCCTCTGATGCTCACTGGGCTCTCTGGTTAGATGTCAGGGCCGTCACGGTGGAGCATTCGAGAAGTCACCTGCCGTTCACTGACGGTGAGCTGCACGGGGCGAGGCGGTCACTGACGGTGAGCTGGTCGGGGGTTGAGGTGGACTCTTTAAACATGAAGCAATTCAGAGCTCCGTGGGGAAGCTGGGTTTTTGACAATTTTTTCCCTTCTTTTCCTTGGAAAGCTGACAAACAGTGCTCTACAACACTTATGACAAGACCAGAAATGCCACACATTTCAAATACCATCCGGCAGGGGGTGGTCATTAGGATCCATTAGGGACACGCTGTCCCTCTGCTAAAGCCCCAGGGGTAGGTGTCCCACCGTGTCACACGGGATGGCTCGTGCGGCCGGCACTGGGCACTGGCTGGCCAGGAGGGAGGCTGGGCGACTTTGGCCACGTGTGCTTTGCAACACCTGGGGTCCCAGACCCCATCACCCTTGCCAAGTGGCCGTGGTGAGCTCCGCATGCCAGAGGCCAGGAGGTCCAGGCCACGCGGGGGACCAGCATTAACCTCATCTGAAAGGCAACTGCAGACGGCGAGGAGGCACGTGAGTCTGCAGCCGTGCGCGGGCTGGGGTGGGGGGCTGGGCAGGACGGACGCGGGAGGGAGGAACTACCTCTCTTTTCATCTGGAGCTGAGGACGGGAGAAAGATGCTCCACGAATTCACTCCGTGGAAACCGGCCAAGCCCGGTGTGCCCTGCTTGGCTGAAACTCTGGCGTCAGCAGGAAAACTGCCTGTCAAGCAACTTCCACAGTTCCCGAGTCCCCCTGCTCTGAGCCGTGTCCCACACCCGGGCCAAGGCCTGCCGGGGAGGCAGCTGGAGGGCACGGAGGAGGCGGGGGAAGCGGCACAGGCGCCGTGGCTCCGCGTGGCCCTGTCGGCAAGTCGCAGCACAAGCAGGAAGCAGGACTCAGGCCTGAACGGGGCTCTAGGCCGGTTCCCGAGAAGAGGAGTCCGGATGGACTGCAACCCTAAGGAGCGGGCGGGGGGGGGGGCGGGGAGCACTCAGCCTGGACTGATGTTCGCTTGCGGGGAGGCTCCCTCTGAAGCAGCCAGAAGCCAGAGTCCCCCCGCCCTCCCGCCTCCTGTCTTGCTAGTCGGTTTTTCATTTATTTATTGACTATTTAATATGCTTTCTATCTTCGGAAGCAGGAGGATTGTGAAATGACTGATTGGGTCTTCCGTCTTAAACATTCCTCTCTCCTCTTTGAGGTCTCTGACCCTGGGTCCTCCTGGTCCCCTCTGACTTTCCAGCCGTCTCTTCTCTGATGCCCTGACGTCCGGGGCCCTGCTGACCCAGCAGGGACTGCCCCTCCCAGGGTGGGTGGGTCCTGCAGACAACGAACCACTCACTCGTGAGCATGCCTTTCAAATGCAAACCAGCCAACCCAGAGCCTGCCCCACCCCCTCCTCCAGGGGCTCCCACACTCTGGGCCACTGCCCCCTGTCCTCGTCACCAGGGACAGCCCCTGTGCCCCAGAGCCCGCTGGAATGACCCAAACTAGCTGACCCCGGGCCTGCTCACCCTGCCCTGGGCCTCTGGTCCACAGTGCCCTCCCTCCGCCTCCTGACCCAGCCTGGTGCGTCCCGTGTGGCCCTGCGTGGCATTCCACCCCTGCCCCCCGGAAGCGTAACATGG